CATCTGCGTTATAGTCATTTGAATCATGGAGATGCAAATGAATCTCAAATATATCTTCTTGGCTGTAAGTTCTCTCTCAGTCAACTTGCAAATTACTCTTTGTATGTATGGCCCATCTATATAGTTCTTACATATGTAAAATGAATTTAGACAGGCAGTATAGGTAATTCGGCTAACTGGTCTCCTTTTTCAATGGCTTTTCCATATTTTTTATTTAATAGGGAAATTGCTCTCCCACTGAATCTTAATTCACAATGGTAAGACTTCAGAAACACAGTTTTTTATTCAGAAAGAATTTCAATCTTCGTGCTGTCAAATGCACTCTGCTCTCACATGGGCACTTAATGGTGTCAGGATGTCAATTTAATTTTGACAGGGCCCCTATCAATGGAATGTTCAACTTCTCATATTTAGTTAATATGGATGGGTAAGAGGATGTTTGAGGGTTTTTTCCCTCTCTGTTTTCATGGAAACATATACTTTCCCATAAGATTGGATGACAGTAGTATGTGTGAAACACTGGAGGTTTTTTTGAGTGAAAAGTTCCCTACTATTCAAGACCTACTATTAACTGCCTCCAAATGGCACACAGTTGTTGTTATCTCTAATTGCTGTGATGCTCTAAATAGTCTGAAGGCACTGGGATCTTTGTTCCCACCAAGAAATGGTTTCTTCCACTTTGCTTTGGAGCCGCACCACTTGAACTGTAGATGTAGCAAGTATGGTTACAGACTCAGTGTTCTTTGCCCGTTAGGTGACGTTAGTGCCCAATGATTGGCAGGATGTGAGTGTTTAGATTTTTGTCCAGGAGTAGAAGACCAAACTACTCTAACACTCTTGTATTAGCTATTTATTGCTGCACAACAAATGATGTCAAAAATGAACTGGCTTAAAACAAGAGAAGTGTCTTATCTCACACATCTTCTGTATGGGATCTGGGAGAGGCATAGCTAGGTGGTTCTGGCTGAGAGTCTCTCATGAGGTTATGTCAAGGTGTTGGCTGGGGTTGCAGGCATCTGAAGGCTGAACTGGGACTAGGGTTTCCAAAATGGCTCACTCACATAGCTATTGGCTGGAGGCCTAGTTTTCTTGCCATGTGGGCCTCTGCTTGAATGTCCTTATGACATGGCAGCTGGTTTCCTCCAGAGTGAGTGATTAATGAGAAAGACCACAGAGGAAGCTGCAGCGTCCCTTACAACCTAGTCTCAGGAGTCATCCACTGTCACTTCTGCCGTAGTCTCTGTTAGAAGTGAATCAGTAGGTCTAGCCCATACTCAGGGGGAGGGGAATTAAGTTCCCCCTCTTGAAGGGGTGTGTATCAAAGAATTTGTAGACATATTTTAAAAGCACTACAACTTTCTTGATTTTCTGCCTTTGTGACTGGATATCTGCAGAAAAACAAACCAAACTCAGAGGTTTAGTACATGGCCAGCAAATGGACAGATGAATACTGCTCCTTCATTCTTGGGGTAATTTATACAGAATTGTAGCCTTCCAACCTAACCAGATAGGTGCTCCCCCAAAAGCTGCACAGGGATGAAATGGAGGTTGGGTCTGAGACAGCCAGATTTCTTCTTCTAGCCTCTCAAACAATGCTGTCTTCTATGCCCCTCATGAATATGCAGTGGCCAGGAGGTAGCTTTTCCCAGGGCATGCCAGGAGAGTGGGACCCCAGTAAGGATGGATTCAGAACAGGGATAGGAGTGTTTGGTTGCGCTCCCCTGGACTGATAGGTCAGATACAGGCGGCAGATGGCAAAGAGCTGAGTGAGAAGCTAGCTGGTTGTGCTCTACTGCTGGTTGGCAAAGACCAGCCACAGATGGTAAGAGTGAAGCTGTCAGCAGACTCCAGTCCTGGGATCAAGCGAGTGCCAACGCTCTGCTGAAATCACCCGCTGTACCACCAAGAGATGCAAGGATTCATGGGCGGAATTCTCCGCTTGGATCTCGAAAACAGAGACCATGGTGGTTCTGGCTCCTTGGCAGCCCTGACTGCACGACGTGAGGAAGGGAGCACTTGGGACCAGATGGAGACATTGGGAGACAGAGCGTGACTGTCAGGCCACAGAGTGAAGCATCGTGCCACAGAGACAGATGGTGAGAGGGGTGCCCCTGTCTGCAGTGGCTTTAGTGCCTTTTCAGTACTCATCCTGCCTGTGTACCCTTCATATAGGGCCTCTTCAAGAGCTTCTACTTCCAAAGCACTTTAATTTAGAAGTCGAATGTAAGTGTTCCAAGCTGTAGTCCAGGCTAAGAGTGCTTCGTAGCTTTTGTCTTTTCTCACATTTAGAGAAACCCAGGTTTCTGATACACTGATTGATAAGGGAATCATACAATGGTATAGTGTATGAAATTATGCATTAGAGAGAAGATGCCCCATAGCGACAGAGTCAAGAAGAGTTTTCTTTCCAGAATATTCCTGCCATTAAGATACCAGTGCAAGAGGAGAGGGGGTAGGAAACATAGAAAACACACAGATTTATACTTCAAGATACAGATCTACTATATATGCCATTAGCCTCCTAAAGAAATTCAGTGGTTCTGCTGGTACCACCTTTAGGCATGGGTGGGAGGGGCCTGCCTTTAAGGGGTTCTGTTCTGGCCCTTCTCCAGCTGCATTCCTACATACTGAGCAGGAGGCCATCAAGCCAAAGGAATGTGTCCATCTGGAGCCGATTTCACCTCTTCAGACCTCGCTCCAGGTATGCAGAAGCCAGAATTCTCTGCCCAAATGGCTGTGAGCCCACTTCCAGGGCCTGTGTGGGCTTCTCCCCAGATCTTCTGATATGTACTCCTGGACCTGTGGAGTGGCCAAGAAATGACAGTTTTGTAGAGGGAAAAGTGGACATGTGGGCTGGAGTGCCTATGGAGTATGGGGCTTAACTGGCTGTGGGAAGTGAAGTGGGGAAGGATGCTCTGTGTGGAAACCAGCTCTCCCTGTTCTAGCAAGGAACTCTGAGAAATCCCAGAATTCTAACTTCAAACCTGGTCTTCCAAGTTGTATTGAAAGTATATTTTCAAGGTGAAAGGATATACACACACACACACACACACACAGAGATATATTAAATTTCACAGTTTGTTAGTTTGTTTTATAACTTTTACATATTTATACATTTAACTGTGGGCTTCTACACGTAGCCTTTTTGTGGACCTTACAAATGTCAGCGTTGGTTCTGGCTCCCCATTTAATACAGAACCAAGTTGAATCAGCTTGGCTTGGTTTGGAAGGCCTTTTAATATTGAGTCCTCTCTAATCTTACCTCCCACGGCTGTTCTGCAGGAATCTTCCATCAACCAAACTGGTCGACCCATAGCCAGGCTTGGCCCATGTCCTTTCCTCTAGGCTCGGTTCACACTATTTTTCTCTGAAAGGCCTCCATTTCTGTCCTGCATTTGTATGGGCCATGCTACTGTTTTAAGACTCAGCCTTATAGTCACATGTCACATTCCACGGGCCTCTTCTAACAGCTCTTGTCTGAGCCACTTATTGGCATTCAAAGTGTGCAACTATGTGTGGTCATTTTTCTTATTATGGACAAGATATGGCTATAAGATAAGGAAACACCAGTACATAATCATTTTTGGACCATGAAAGGGGACCTCCCCCTTCCCCCCCCCAAATCAGAGGAGTAGCTAAGGAATGAGAAGAATGTAGTTAGGCAGTCACCAAAGGAGGAGATGGCCAGCATTGTCAAAAGCTGTAGAGAGGTCACTGGGAAAGATGTCCAAAAATAGAATATTTGCCCATTAGGAAAGAGGTCTTTTGTGACCATTGAGAGAAGAGCAGACTGTGTGGGTGAAAGCAACATTGTAGTGGGAAAAATGAGATGAGAAAGTGGAGACAGCAAACATACTTTAATGTCTCAAGAAAATGTGATTCTGAGAAGAGATAGAGTAGCTTTAGAGGGTGGAAGAGGTAGGGTGGTTTTGTTCTGTTCAAAGGTTGGAGGAGACTGAGTGTGTTTGTAGGAGAAAAGAGCCAGATTAGAGGGAAAATTGATAATGGGGAAAGAAAGGATAGATGATTCAACAAAATCCGGGAATGGCTGAGATCCAGTGCACAGGTGCAGGGGTTAACCTTGATGAGGAGAAAGGGCGCTTCTTGCTGTGGGTAAGGGAGGGAGGGCGGGAAGATGAATGAAGGCTACAGGATAGGCATAATAATGGAGTGATTGGGCTTACTGGTGAAGAGATAGGCTGTCATTGTAGAGAAAAGGCTAAGAAAGCCCGAATTTTCTGGGGGCGGGTCCAGATTTCAAATAGTCAAATATCACAATCTTCATTCATTCCTTTCACATTTATTCAGTGCCCTGCGTGTACCAGACACTGGGGTCTATCTACAGCGATGCGACTTTTCATGCAATTTTGGAATTTGTTATACTGGGACTCAAGTGAGATTTACTTTTTACTCTTCTAGAAGGCTTTAAGTAGAAATAAATGCACGAATCAGAAGAGAGTCCCTTGTCAGACCAGCTGTCCTGACTTGGGGTTTGGAAAACACGGGCATCTCAACAATGGCGCCCTGTTTGAGGCTGAGAGGGATGAGAGGCGAGATGGGGTAAGGTTTACACCCGGGTAACCCCAGGAGGGTGCGCCTTCAACCAGGAAGGTGCGAACCTTCTGTGCACTTCGGGCCGCGCTGTAACCAAGGGTAACGGCGCCTCAGCCTACACCAGTGTGAAGACCCGCTTCTTCCCTGAACCAGGTGTGTCTACGGAGGCTGACCAGAATCCGACAGACACAAGCCCAGCCTCCCCACCCGAGACACCTTGCCGCGATCCGCCACCGCCTCTGACTATTTAAGGTCACTGCTACTTCTGCCCCTAGTTAATTGTGAGGGGCGGGGGAGGGGAGAAGCGGTGGGCGGGACGAATCACCTTTTCTATTTTACAACTGGTCTCAATGGGCTCCGAGTCCCGCCTCCTGCGCAGCCGCCGACAGGCTCTCCGGGCTGTCACTCGAGCCTCCGCGGCCGCCCCTTGCCGTGGCTGGGATCTCGCGGGAAGAGCGGCGGGCACGGCTGTAGCTCGGTCTCCCGGCTGCGCGCGAAGCGGGAGGGCTCTCTTCACACAAGCGCTTCCTCGCGGAGAGGTTAGAGCTGCCGCAGTCGCAGGCCTGGGCCGCCCCTTCCCTGCCGCCGCCTTCTTTTCCTCAGGGCTCCTCGGTCCGCTCGCCCTCCGGCGCTCCCAGGTAAGTAAGCCTAGAGCGCGTCCCGGCTGCGGACCGGTCGGGGAGCCGGGACTCGGAGCAGCCGGGGCGGGCTGGCTCCCGACGGGGGCGGCTCCGCGGGCTGCGCGCCGCTGCCTGGTGGGCGCGAGGCTTGGTGGGGCTCGGGAGTGCGGGGGGCAGGAGGCGGCGGGGTGGGACCCGAGTGCGGGCGCCCAGGGGCGGTGTGGCGGGTGCCGGGGCTCCTGAGGCGAGGGGGCGGTTTACTGGGGCTCTTCCAGCTTGGCTTGGGGGTGGGTGGTGGCGCACAGGGTCCCACTTCAGGGTCAAGGGAGATTTGTCAGGGTCCTGGGGTTCCTCGAGGAGACGTAGCGGGGTTCCGGAACAAGGGGTCCTCTTACCGTGGTCGCAGGCTCTTTGGGGGCAGAGAATTCAGTTTAGCAGGTCCTGAATCTCTGAAGGGGCAGATCATTGGGGTGTTGGGGGTCCTTTGAGCGGGAGTGTTTCGCATCCCTGGGTGACAAAGCAGCGTATTAGGGTTCGGGGAAGGGGGCTCTGTTTATCCGGGTCTCCGGGCGAGAGGGCGATGTGTCTGCCCCCTGCAGGGGCCGGGCCGCCTTGGTGGGCTGCTGGGGGCGGAATGGTGTTCGGCGGAGACCGGCGTCTTTACTGGGGTTTCTGCTTTGCCCAGAGGGGGGCGGTAACTTGGCATGGTCTCCAGTCTTTAAGGGGGCGACAGGGCGAGTTGGCGGGTCTCCGGCAGATCTCGAATGGAGGGCGCGGCTCAGCAGGCACTACTGGGTCGGCTCGGGGCAGGAGGGGGCTCTAGGGGCATCCGGAGCCAGCCCAGTAGACAGCCTGTGGCTGGTCAGCATCCTGGAACAGGTCTCTTTCTACGTGAGATTTATTCGGTGCTCAGTGGGAGCATTGATCCGCGTTGCTTCTTAGTTGGAGAAATCTTGGGGTTGTTCTGCAGTTTTCTTTTCCCTGCTCCGGGATCCCTGTGGGGGCTTGCTGGTCTCGCTGCTCTGGGAGCGAGAGAGTGGCAGCACCTTAGGTGGGTATATAGACTCTAGGTTCTTTGGGAGGCGAGTGTCCTAAGGTTAAGCGTGCCAGCCGCTGAAGATAGGGAAGACTGTGTGGTTTTGGCTTCGCTTTCCTAGGTAGTCTGCTTTGCTGATCCTGCATTATTAGATCTGTCCTGAAGTCTTGCCTGAGTGTTGGGCAGAGCTTCAAGTAGTGATGGGAGGTGTGTTCGGGCTTCTCTCTGTCCTTTGAAAAACGTTCGTGGAGAGGGATAACGTGAAGTTCAGTCTCCAAATAATGTATCGGAATTTGAAGTCCCAAAGCTAGAGCTCTGCAGAAGCGTCATTTGAGACCTGTAAGGGTGACTAGCAGCTCTTTTAGAGAATCCTGCTAAACAGTTTTTTTTGGTAAAGGTTGAGTTAGTCTTGACTCTAATGCAGAGTTCTTGGTAACTAGCCCAGACTTTGGTGAAATTTAAATAAAATGACCCGTGTATATGGTTTTTAAAAAGATGTATGGCTTGGGAAGTCTGCATTTGCTTGACAAGTCTTCAGGTTAGATAGCTACTTCATCAGAGAGGCCTGTAAATGAAGTCTGATGTGGCAGGCAGTGGAGCCCATATTAACAGTAATTCTGTCATTTTGGGTAAACACACATTTGACTATGCCAAAGCAAAGAATTTTGCCTGCCTTAGTCATTTTCTTAGTAACAGTTTCTTAAGATTGAGATTTCTTTTTATCTTAGAACCAGAAAGATTAGGGTTAATGTACTTAAATCTTGAGTATTGCAATCATTAAAAAAAAATGCAAGGGGATCCTGCATAGCAATATTTAACCCATTGAGGAGCTTAAGTTTTTTATTTTTTTTTCGTTTTTGTCTGATTGACTTTCAAATTGATCAAAATTTCAAAATTGATCAATTGAGCAGATATTTGGTTAGAACTACAGCCAAAAAACCCTAAACAGACCATTGTTTTCCTCACTATTTTTGAAAGACAAATGATAAATTAAGCAAATTTCAGTAACTTTAAAAAAGCAGCTTTCATGATTTCTAAGTAAACATATTGATCAGTCAACAAATATTTTATTATCTGGTAGGTGTCACAGCACTGGAGGTACAGTGATTCCAGCTCACATGTAACCTATATCGAGAGAAAGCAAATAAAATAAATACATAAAATAATTGAGATGCTGATAATGAAGAAACAGGGTACTTGGGGTTCAGCTCACTTTTTTTTTTATAACCCCTGAATAATAATATAATTGATGTCTGTTGTGATAACTGGAAACCAAATCAGGTAATGCTCTACCTTCTGAATTATTAAAGATTGAATTATGATCAGTACAGTTTGGGTGTTAAATATATATTAACTCTGAGGATTAGCACCTTTTGTTATATAAGCATTAAAAAGTCTCTAAGGATACACATCAAACTTCCGAGTATTTGGGGGATTCTTTAAGAGAGGGTTGTAGAGGCATGGAAGAGCGCTATTAATTTTATGCTTTTATATTATTTGAATCCATTTCCGTGAGTGGATCTAAGTGCAAATTAGGGAAGTCTAAAAATTAAAACATTTTGGTCACTATGCAAATTTGTGAAATGTACAGTATTTATAAGGCATTTTGTCAGTGTTGCCACTTCCACTGTGTGTACTAATGAAGGAAAAAATGTATTTCAAGAATCTAATATTATAGTAGGGGGTGGGGAGCACAACAGAATAAGAATACTGAGACCTAAGTAAAATGTTTAAACATGTTAAAGATGTTGGATGTTTAATTATATAAAGATAAATTAATCTCAGGCCTTTCCTTTTTCAAATTTAATTATTTCCAAGTTTGAGAAGGGAAGTTTTTCAACTCTTTAGACAAGAATACCTTTTGTCTCTGTGTTGGGGGTGGAGGTGTTCTTATTGATACACAGATTTCAGGAAGAGATTTCTTTTTGTCAGATGTATGGATACATCTACTAGATTTGTTTTTCTTCTGAGGCATATGAAACATAAAAATAATTTTATGGTTCGTTATTACTATAATTTAGTTTTACTGTTTATATTTCATTATTACTATAATGAAAATGGTACTACCAGAGTGTGTTTTGGATTATCATTCAAAATTCTAGAATTATACACATGATGTACTACAGCAATTTCTAGAAAGGAAATCATAAGACATGGATTCCAGTCTTCACTGTCCTACTAACATATGGCCTTGGGTAATTTCTTAGACTCTTAGGACCTCAGTTTCCATATATATAAAATTAAAGAGAAGTCCCTGTCAGTAATCAGTGTAAGCTCCGATTCCAAGGATTCTATTGCATTTTGATGTTGCATGTCAGCAGTATTATGTCTACAAAAAGGGATAGATGTCTGAAGAGTAGCTGGTTCTCAGGAAACAACTAGTTCCATGTAATTTTCATTTATGATACCTAATTTTAGAAACCTCTTCCTTTTTAAGATATATAGGAAATATTAATTCCACAATATACATTCATGAAGATAAATGATTTTCTTTTGATGATTTAACTTTATTTGTTTTAAGCATTATTATTTTCATTTCTGATTTCTGGTTGAGTATGTGATGATGTAATGTCCTTATTTAACTTTGGGTTGTAGAATGAGGTTACTAGTGGTTGACTCCCTTTAATCCATCCTTTACACTCCTGCCAAGGTGACTTTTCTAAAATGCAAATCTATTCAAAGCTTCTTTCTTAAAATCCATACTTCTCCTTTACCTACAGTACATATTTAGTTCTAACTCTTTATCATTACAAGGCCCTTCATCATCTGGCTCATCTCCTGCATTTCCCCCACCGTAAATCTGAAGCTCCAACTGTACTAATCCAGTTAATTCACTGAAAGAGTCATACTGTTTCCTGACTCAGACAGAGCCTTCTCATATATTCTCCCCACTGCTTAGAATGCCTTTCTTTCTCCTGTCTTGCTGACAAAGTCTACTGAGTTTTCAAGATACAAAAAAAAGCACCGTCTGCTTTTTAAGTCTTCTGTATCCTCTGGTCCTCCCTCTTCCTTATCCCACTGGGTTATTCACTCTCTCTGTCTTGTTCATTCATTCTCTTATGTTTGCTAGTATGCTGTAATTATTTATGTCTGTCACTGACTCCTCCTTGACTCAAAACTAGGTTTATATTTGTCTTACTACTTTTTGAACCTCGATGCTTATTTTACACAGTTGGGTCTTATTACAGGTTTGAACCCTCAATGCCAAGATTGATATCTTCATAATGTCCGAGTTAAGCCCAAATCTCAGTCTTGTCCTATTTTTCTAAAATTTTGGGCTTTCTCTTATTAATAGAATATGATACTTTAACCTTACACCTATGACCACAAACTGATATTAGATCTATAGTTCTGTTTTTTTTTTAAGATTTTATTTATTTATTTATTTGACAGAGCAAGAGAGCAGGGGGAGCAGGAGAAGGAGAGGGGAGAAGCAGGCTCCCCGCTGAGCAGGGAGCCCGATGCCGGGCTTGATCCCAGGACCGTGGGATCATGACCTGAGCTGAAGGCAGACGCTTAACCATCTGAGCCACCCAGGTCTATAGTTCTTATCCTCATTATTTAAGAAGTAAGACTCCCCAGCACTATAGGAGTTAAGGGTTACTCTGTTAAACTTGCAGATTTTGAGACAACAACTAGTTCCTATAACCAAAATTGCTAGTAGAGTTATAAAGTAATTTGGGTATTTCAGATCTTGGATATCAGTGATTGGTAGATATTTTTACCTTGGCTGCTTTTTGTATGGGACATGATTGTTGCCAACCTGTGTATGTCTTTATATTGTCTGTTTATTGGCTGACGATTTAGTAACTTGCTCAGGGTCATTATCTACTAAGCAACAGGCTATAACTAGATTCAGGTCTGTTGTACTCTTGGTTCTGTGCTTTTCCAAATACTATACTGTTTTCTGAATATGACTGCTTATTCAGTGTATTAAAATTGTTAATAGATATTTTATTCATTTTACAAATTGAAGAAGTTA